GGGTCAGTGTGACGTCACTGGTACTGGTCATACAGTAGAACCTTCAGAGGGTCAGTGTGACGTCACTGGTACTGGTCATACAGTAGAACCTTCAGAGGGTCAGTGTGACGTCACTGGTACAGGTCATACAGTAGACCTTCAGTGGGTCAGTGTGGCTTAACTGGTACATGATTCACCTGTTCCCACTGGAGAGCCGTCTGGGAGCTGATCACCTCAGCACTATTTATAAACACACGGCCAGACCACAGACAGAACCGGAGTACTAGTATATCAACATGCCTGTTGTTTTGACAGCCGAGGGCGAGACGTATGAACATATGGAAATCGAGTATCATTTCTGAGTTTGGATGTAGCGCATCTTTTCCCTGGTTTTATAATTAACAGCAACACTATGTTAGCTTTCTCGTATGTCGTTTACAGTGGGTTCAGGTAATTTATGTTTACATTAAAGGTTTGATAAGGTGAAATTAAGAAATATTCCAATCATTGATCACCTAACTGATCCCTACAATAATATAAATATATACAGTAGATAAACAAGTGAGTTAGGAGGCGTCTCCACACATTTAAGAAGATGTAGACCCCTGGGAAGTTGAAGTGGGTGAGTTGGCGAGCCTCGCCATAGCCAATTAATGTGCACATCCTTCAAAAATATATTCAAAAACGAATGATGAATATTGCGTATGGTGTATTGCAATATAATATTATATGCGCGTATTAAGGGGAAGGCTGGACAGACACGTGCCTCCACCGCGGTCTATATATAATATATAATATAAGCAGAAAAAAATGTTCCTTGTGGACGAAGACATAATATAAAAAGAAAAACATCTCAACAACGTGTCTTTAGTACTTTCATCTCGTCAAGGAGATCCTTCACAAGAATTCTGAAGAATCTCCTTGACGAGATGGAAGTATTAAAGACTCGTTGTTGAGATTTTTTCTTATGATATATTTACATTTATATATATATTTAACTGCGCTGCATGTTCACTATGCAATCAAACAAACTGAAGTTTCTTTCAAATCACTCAAGTTGTTTTTCTTCGTTTTTTTCGGGGTTTTTTTCATAAATCAAACTATGGAATTTCATTGGTCGCATTTTCATAAAACAATGAAAAGGACAAACGCACAATTCGATAAGTGGCATAACAATTCTGTGAAATCATAGCAGTGTTACAAAGTAATGGACTTTAAAGGGTTGCTTTGACTCTTGGGTGTGTATCGAAATCATTAGAACGGATACAGTGCACACGTACTAAACTGACTCATTCGTGTGAAACTTTCATGAAAACTGATGTAATAAAATTAATTTCGTCTCGGTGTTTGACTCCAATTACTGTTCAAAATGATATTTCAGTTAATAGATCACTCCTAACAAACGCTTTTTACGGAAATATTAAGATGCAACACTGAATATTTGTCTACGTAGTTAAAGTTAAAATATGTTTAAAAATGAATACAGGGAAATGTTTTTTAGAAAACGTTTACCTTTTAAACTCGATCACGATTTGAAGAGTATAAACGGTGTATTGCCCGTTTCATGTGTATCACTCAGCTTACCTTTCATGTGTATCACTCAGCTTACCTTCATGTGGAACTTTGCTACTTATCACAGTACATGACATGACTAAGACCCGCATCAAAAGAGAACAAACTGACCCAGTCGTACTGGACTTCGCAAAGACATTTGGCAAGCTTAAAGGTTCCTTGATAAGGAAACACATACTTTGGGAAAACTCAACTAATACAAGTAGACGAGGAGAGTTCCGATAGCAACTAAGTTGTCTCAGAAGTTCCCAACGGATCTTCGATATGAACTATCTTGTTCCTGGTCTGTATCAAAGACCTCATAGATAGCATACACAAGCACATCAGACGTTTTGCTGACGAATGTCTCCTCTACAAAGACATGAACAACCCCAAGGACCCGGCCATCCTACAAGAGGGTCTCGACACACTATACTGGTATGGCAGATGGAATTTCACATCAAGAAATATAGCACCACGACAGTCACCCTCGCTACCAAACACGTGGCCCATATATACCTTTGATATGGGTGAATATCCTTCAACTCTACATATAGGGGTAACCTTCAGCCATGACCTGAAGTGGTACGTCCATAAAGACACTATCTCGGCGCACAGAGGAACGGAATAGAACAGACACAACGTAGCAACAAGCACCGAAAGTGCTAACAATCACGAACTATAATACAGTGTACCACTTTTAAGCCCAATCAGGAAAATTGCATTGCCAAAGGTAAAGACAACGTTACCAATATCACGGGGAAGATAGGCAGGGAGACCGTGAAGCCAAGCCAGAAGACAACGTTACCCATATCACGGGGAATATAGGCATGGAGTCCGTGAAGCCCATCCAGAAGACAACGTTACCAATATCGCGGGGAAGATAGGCATGGAGTTCGTGAAGCCCAGCCAGAAGACAACGGTACCAATATCACGGGGAAGATAGGCAGGGAGACCGTGAAGCCAAGCCAGAAGACAACGTTACCAATATCACGAGGAAGATAGGCATGGAGACCGTGAAGCCAGGCCAGAAGACAACGTTACCAATATCGCGGGGAAGATAGGCATGGAGTTCGTGAAGCCCAGCCAGAAGACAACATTGCCAATATCTCGGGAAAGATAGGCATGGAGTCCGTGAAGCCCATCCAGAAGACAACGTTACCAATATCCCGGGAAAGATAGGCATGGAGTCCGTGAAGCCAAGCCAGAAGACAACGTTACCCATATCACGGGGAAGATAGGCATGGAGTCCGTGAAGCCAAGCCAGAAGACAACGTTACCCATATCACGGGGAAGATAGGCATGGAGGCCGTGAAGCCCAGCCAGAAGACAACGGTACCAATATCACGGGGAAGATAGGGATGGAGACCGTGAAGCCAAGCCAGAAGACATGGTTACCAATATCACGGGGAAGATAGGCATGGAGCCCGTAAAGCCAAGCCAGAAGACAACGTTACCCATATCACGGGGAATATAGGCATGGAGTCCGTGAAGCCAAGCCAGAAGACAACGTTACCCATATCACGGGGAAGATAGGCATGGGGTCCGTGAAGCCCAGCCAAAAGACAACGTTACCAATATCACGGGGAAGATAGGCATGGAGACCGTAAAGCCCAGCCAGAAGACAACGTTACAAATATCACGGGGAAGATAGGCATGGAGTCCGTGAAGCCCAGCCAGAAGACAACGTTACCAATATCACGGGGAAGATAGGCATGGAGACCGTAAAGCCCAGCCAGAAGACAACGTTACCAATATCACAGGGAAGATAGGCATGAAGACCGTAAAGCCCAGACAGAAGACAACGTTACCAATATCACGGGGAAGATAGGCATGGGGTCCGTGAAGCCCAGCCAAAAGACAACGTTACCAATATCACGAGGAAGATAGGCATGGAGTCCGTGAAGCCAAGCCAGAAGACAACGTTATCAATATCACGGGGAAGATAGGCATGGAGATCGTGAAGCCAAGCCAGAAGACAACGTTACCAATATCACGAGGAAGATAGGCATGGAGACCGTGAAGCCAAGCCAGAAGACAACGTTACCAATATCACGGGGAAGATAGGC